AACGTATATAATAATAATTTATAAATAATTTCACAATCGAACGAATCGATCGAACGAACACTGAATATAGGTTATTGAATATAGGTTAGAACATTTCTTAACCTTTCTTAAATCAATATAAATCGAAAAAATAATTCATCATCATTAATTCTCTCTAAACTCAAAAAAAATTCAAACGACAAAAAAAAATTATTATTTTTAGATCCAATCAAGAATACAAGAATAACATTTTAAAATTCCAATGATACTTGCATACGAACCAAGATACATCCGACCAGTTCCACGAAACATCTGGATCTCGTTCTGGACCAATCACGTGTCAGACATTCAAGGGAAAGGTTGTTGCATACATCTTTGATTTTATGCGTGTTTCACAGTGAAAGAATGCTCGAACGATATGTCTGAGACTCGCAAGAAGCTATTTATCGAAGAAAAAAAAAAAAGGAGAAAAGAACGTGACATACCGGATTCAGTGAAGCAGTTAAGAAGGCTATGGTTTTTCTGCTTCTCTTTAGAAGGCAATCGCGTGGGCAGATTATTACTCGCGTCTGTGTGAAATTGTTGTCGAGCATTGCGACTGATAACTCGTTCTTGGAATGAATTGATTCCATCGATTGACTACATTATCTTGTTCTTCGGTTCAAAACAAATTTCTTTTTACGAGAGAATTTCATATTCTTTTTTTTNTTTTTTTTTTTTAAATAAATAAATTTAACGACGACAGAACTTTTATTAAATATATTTTTACATTTGAGATTTATTTTTTTTAGAACTTTAAGATTTTTTGTTTCCTTTCTATCTTCAATATCGAACAACTAAATTGTTATTAGAAGTTTATTAGTTTCATTAGAATATTATTACAACTTTCTATTGTATTTCATCTCTAAATTTCAAGTTCGTATACAACTTTATTAAAGCTTTTTTAGTTCCAAGTTTAACATTTATTGGAATACTGTACAATTTTATATGATACGATTACTTTTCAGAATTATATTTATTTTTTAATATTTTCACTTTCGAATCAATATGTGGTATAAAATGCTATTAAAACTTTTTTAGTTTCAAGTTTATCACTGATTGAAGTATTGTACAGCAATTTTATATTACACGAGATTGCGACGCTATATTACTTTTCAGAATTTTATGATTTTTTTCATTCCACTTCCAACGCTATTAAAACTTTTTCATTATTCAGTTTTCCAATTGAAAATGAATGCCTGTGGATTATCGATTTGTACAATACTCGTTTTGCTGCCTTATTATTCCATTTTTTTTTATTATTATTATTATTATTATTATTATGCACTTTTGATGTCACTCGATTATGTATGTAATCAGCACAACACTGCATGGAAAACGAACATTACAATGATAATCGATAATCGACCGACATTCATTTTCAATCAGACGACGAAAACAACACAATATTAAAACTTCTCGTTTCATTTAACAATAGAGAGAGAGAGAGAGAGAGAGAGAGAGAGAGAGAGAGAGAGAGAGAGAGAGAGAGAG